GATTCTAAGTCTCCCCCAGTGTTTTGCTTTGGATGGTCTCATATTTTTGTTGTTCTCGTCTTTTGTTTGCTTTGCTTAATTGTTTTTTTTAAATTATAAGATACACATATTGTAAAATTCACCATTTTAATCATTTGAAAGTGTATAACTCTCTAAGCACAGTGGTGCACACCTTGACCCCAGCTATTTGGGAGTCTGAGGCAGGAGGATTCAAGTTTGAGGCCAGTCTCCGCAACTTAGCACAACCCTGTCAGAGAGAGAGAGAGAGAGAAAGAAGAAGGAGGAGGAGGAGGAGGAGGAGGAAAGAAAAGAGGGCTTGGGGATATAGCTCAGTGATTCAATGCCCAGTGCCACAAAATTTAAAAAGAAAGAAAGAACAAGGGAGGGAAGCGTGTATAACTCAGTAGCATTAAGTACATAACTTTTTCTTTTATTAATTTTATTTATTTATTTGTTTGTTTTTATGTGGTGCTGAGGATTAAATCCAGTGCCTCACCCATAAGAGGCAAGTGCTCTACCACTGAGCCACAATCCTAGCCCCAACTTTTTCTTTTTAACTAATCTTGATGTGCAAAAAAGTTAGAGGAATGTTGCAAAGAACTCTCTGGAGCCTTCTCCCAGACTCACCAGATGTTGCACATTTGCTTTCTGTTCCCTTCTTCCCTTTACATAGATAGACAGATAGGGAGGGAGGCAGGGAGGGAGAGGCACCCAGTAGGAGTAGAAATGAGAGCTGGCTATCTCTATGTTTATGATATAGTTTCTTCCTGAACCATGGAAGTGTACATTGAGACCTGTGTCCCTTTATTCCTAAGTACCTGGGCATGCATTACCTAAGAACAGAGCAGATCTCTGCAATCTGCAGGAACTTGGTGTTGATACAATGTGCTTTTTGTATTGGGTTATTCCCAATTGTCCCCCTAACGCCCTTCATAGCATAGTCCTCCCTCAATTCCAGAATCCAATTCAGATTCTGGACCTAGCGTGGAAGTGTAACCCGAAAGTCCTCTTTCCTCCTCCTCCTCTTCCTCTTCCTCCTCCTCCTCCTTTTCTTTCTCCTCCTCCTCCCCTCCTCCTCCTCTTCCTCCTCCTTTTCTTCTTCCTCCTCCTCCTCCTCCTTTTCTTCCTCCTCCTCCACCTCCTCCTCCTCCTCCTTCTCCTTCTTCTTTTCCTGTGACACTGGGCATTGAACCCTTGGGTGCTCTACCACTGAGCTACTGGGCTACTACCCAGCCCGTTTCATTTTGAGACAGGGTCTCACTAAGTTGTCCAGACTGGCCTCAAACTTGAATGGTCTTGCCTTAGCCTCCCGAATCCCTGGGACTACAGGCATGTGCCACCATGCCTGGCCCAAGTTCTGTTCTTACTGAGGCTTCACCTCATTCTCAGCTCAAGGAGGAGGGTAGGACATTCGGCACCCACAGGGATCAGTGCTGTCCCTATCTGCACATTGCATGCTGAAAATGTCAGGCCAGTGCACTCAATACCAGCTGCTTGGTTCCCCGGTGACCAGCAAGTGGGAGATTAACCTTCATAATCTATTTTTCTGGGACCAAGATTCAGATGCGTTTGCACTTGCCTTCCTGGAACACACACCAATGGAAGCTGCCGCTCAGTGAACTCATGGGGTTGTGAGAGGGAAGAATGGGCTGGGAGCTCCTGAAGGCATGAGGCTGGCTTTGGGACCTTCTCCAGGAGTCGGATGGCTGAGACTATGGTGAGGTGGTTGGTGTGGACTGAGACCCCTCATGGATGAGGTGGGACCTAAAGCCCAGATCTCCACCTGACTTGCTCTGACAAGCTTCTTAGGAGAGGCTGCTCCCAAATTATCAAAGAGTAATTCCAAGAAGGCGCACTTAGTAACACAGGGTCTCAATGCATGGGGCCGTGGGCTCCTAGAGGGCAAAGCTGAGTACCCCTTTGGGTCTTGTCAGTGTAGATGGGTGTAGACAGCAGACTGCTCCTTTTTTTTTTTTTTTTTTCTTTTTAGGTGGACACAACATCTTTAGTTTGTTTTTATGTGGTGCTGAGAATCGAACCCAGTGTCTCACGCATGCTTGGCAAGCGCTCTACCACTTGAGCCACATCCCTAGCCCCAGACAGCTCCTTTTTAACCACAACAGCAGCTAGCCTTTATTGAGCTTTTATGATCTGCCAAAAGCGATGTGCTTCTCATCACTTAGTCATCATGACTTCCCTAGAATGGGCGCATTTTATTCTTTTCACCATTTCAAAGATGGGAAAATGCAGACAAAAAGCTCAAGTAACTCACACAGCCCAGTAGCTAAGATTCAAATCCAGACCAGTTGGCTCCAAGGCCAGTGCTCTTCCCTGTACCAAAACCCCAGAGAGGCTCAGCTAGTCCCTGAAGGACAAGAGATTTTAAGAGAGACAAAACACCAAGGAATGGGAACTCCAGACCTGGGTTTGGTTATACTGGTTGTGTGACTTTAGGCAGCTTCCCAAACACTTCAGCTGAGCCCAGTGGTGCACACCTATAATCTCAGTGGCTCAGGAGGCAGAGGCAGGAGGATTATGAGTTCAAAGCCAGACTCAGCAATTTAGCGAGGTGCTGACAACTCAGTGAGACCTTATCTCTAATAAAATACGAAATAAGGCTGGGGATGTGGTTCAGTGATCAAGTGCCCCTGAATTCAATCCCTGGTACCCCCCAACTCCCCCCCAAAAAACCATTTCTATGGCTCAGGTTCCTCAACTGGTAAATATAGTATCTTTTTCATAGGTTAGAGACAGTATGTTTAGAACATAGTGCAAGTAGCAATTATTATTATTGTTGTTGTTGTTATTATTATAAGTAGATGTGAGGCCTAGGAAGGGTGGCACACGCCTGTAATTCCAGAGACTCAGGAAGCTGAGGTAGGAGGATCACAAGTTTGAGGCTAGCTTCAGCAACTTAGTGAGACCCTGTCTGAAAATAAAAAGTAGGAAGGGCTGGGGATGTGGTTCAGTGGTTAAGTGCCCCTGGGTTCAATCCCCAGTATCAAAAAAAAAAAAAAGAGAGAGAGAGAGAGAGAAAAGAAAGAAAGAAATAGAAGTAGAGGCAGCCTGAGTAGGTATCCAGGATGAATGTGGACTCTAGGGTACAGTTCTGGAGGGCGGCGGGGCGGAAGTCAATCTGGCTAGAAAGTGAGATGGGTGTAATGGGTGAATGGAAAAGAAAAGTCGGCTGGGAAACAGGAGGCTAGGTCATTGAGAACCTTCAAAGCTACCATAAAATGCCCTCCAGCTCTTCAAAATGACAGGTGTGTGGACTTTGTTGACATATGGAAATGTGTGTTTGGAAAAAAAAAACAGAATGCAAAATAGTCTGTACACACTGACAGCTGGGGAAACATGCTACGCTCTGTTACGTTTAGAGATCAGAAGGGCATCCGTGGTGCTGCAGGGTGCCAGTTTGCCACCTTCTTATTTATTTTTCTGTAAATACCTAATGAAAACTAAGAGTAAACAAGAGGTCAGGCTGAGGGCTTTAGCTTTTAACCTGTGGATATCCATGGGGAATCACTGCAGATTCTATTTTCTCTTGTTTTTCTTTGAGATTTAATTCATATACAGTTGACCCTCACTATTTTATTTGCAAATTTTCCTGGTGGCTCAAATTTAATTGTAACCCCAGAATTGACACAGACATAGCTCCTAGGGTCATTCTCAGACACACACAGAGTGGTAAAAATTTTGAGTGGCCCAATGTACATGTTCCCAGCTGAGCTCAAACAAGAGGACACTTGCCTTCTTGTTTCAGCTGTCATTATGTAAACAGGTGTCCTTTTCTATTTAGTGCTTATGTTTTTTTCATATTTCTGGGATTAGTGGTTTTTGTTTTTTGTTGGTGCTGGGGATCGAACCCAGGGCACTTTGTGCATGCTAGGCAAACACTCTACCAACTGAGCTATTGCCCCAACCCCCATGTTTTTTCATATTTCTATGCTTTGTGTGTGTGTGTGACTTAGTGGTTTAAAATGCCTTCAAGTTGGGCTGGGGATGTGGCTCAAGCGGTAGCACGCTCGCCTGGCATGCGTGCGGCCCGGGTTCGATCCTCAGCACCACATACAATCAAAGATATTGTGTCCACCGAAAAACTAAAAAATAAATATTAAAATTCTCTCTCTCTCTCTTAAAAAAAAAAAAAGCCTTCAAGTGTAGCGCAGAAGCACCTTTTTTCTTTTTGGGGGGGGTTGGTACCAGGGATTGAACTGAGGGGCACTTAACCACTGAGCCACATCCCCAGCCCTTTTTTGTTTTTGGGGTTTTTTTTTTTTTGGTTTGTTTTTGAGACAGGATCTCACTGAGTTGCTTAGGGCCTTGGCTAAATTGCTGAGGCTGGCTTTGAACTTGTGATCCTCCTGTGTCAGCCTCCAGAGCCACTGGGATTACAGGTGTGTACCACCCAGCTCAACAGTATATATTAAATCAACAATATATATTAAATGTCTTTAATCAGAAGCCCACAAAGCAAAGTTATGTATTGATCAGTTGACAAAAAGTTGTAACTAGAGGTTCACGGAAACCTAACCCTGTATTTCCTCAGGAATAGTGATTCCATATTCAATATTGTGTTGGCTGCAACTTTATAGAATGTAACTGTCACTGCTAACGAAAATTGCAGGGCACCGTGGCGCACATCTGTAATCTCAACAACTGGGAGACTGAGGCAGGAGGGTCGCAAGCTTGAGGCCATCCTCAGCAATTTAGGGAGACCCTATCTCAAAATAAAAAAATAAAAGGACTGAGGGTGTGGTTCTGTAGTAAAGTATCCCTGGGTTCAATCCCTAGTACCTAAATAAATAAATAAATAAAAGAATTGACTATACCACCAGATTTACCTGTTTAAATTCATTCTTTTTAATGTATGTACAAGGTGGCACAACCACAACCACATCGTCACTGCAGATTTTCAAGTAGTAAGATGGCCTTGCAGAGTGACTTGAGAATTGCCTGTCCATCTTTCCCTGTCTCCTGACCTCTCTGGTTCCTTTCAGAATGCCCAGGAGAGCCATGGGCTGGCTGTGCCCACCCCTTCTGTCCCAGAAGACTTTGCAGACAAAGAGGTGACAGGTAAGAAGGCTCTGGGTTTGGGTTTTCAGCATCTTTCTTCCTTCTTGGACCCTGAGCCCCAAAGCCAAGTATCTGACCCACCTCCCCAGCTGGTGGCACAGCCAGAGCCCTTAGGCCTCTTGGCCATGGTTGTGATGGGTGGGAGCAGCGGGAAGCTGGGGAGAGCCAGGGTTGGCCAAGGCTACGGAGGAGGAGGGGAAAGGGATAGTGACAGAACTGGGCTGCAGAAGGAATCAGAGAGCTGTGAAATGGTAGGAAGTATTCTGGCATCCAGTGAACCTGGCTTGGAACCCCAGCTCCCCCATATTCCCTTTGCCTCCTTGGGCAAGACAGCCTCTTGCACCTCTGTAGCTCCCAAGGAACGATGGGCAACAGTGCCAGCCCTGGAGGAGTAAATTAAGTGTTGGATGGCATGGAAGTCACACTGTGCTGACAACCTGCCAGTGACTTCCAGTGTCACTCAGAGGACTGCTGGGTTTGGCTCATCACCTGCTCTTTCCCCTCCCACACTGCCCCTGGGCACTTAAGAACCCCAAGCATATTACCACCTGGGGGGCTTTGCTCTGCTGTGCCCTCTGCATAGAGAGCACCAGCGACCCCTGCAGGGCTGTCCCTCCCTGTGCTCCAAGGTCACAGGCTCTTGGAGACCTTGCCTGACCATTTTAAACCGCACCCTCAGCCTCTCCCTGTTTTTTTTTTACCCAATACATTCAACATCTGATGTGGTCATAACTTATGGATGTATTGATTGTGTTCACTGCCTGTCCCCTTGTCCCTTTAAAGTATAAGCCCCAGGAGAATCACGGGTATTTTGTGTTTTTGTTTTGTTTTGTTGTTTACTGCTCTATCTCAGCTCTTAACTCAGAGCTAGACACCTGGGGGCTTTGTGAATGTGAGCTTCTCCCTCCCCCACTCTTGGTCTTTTTATTGTTTGAAGTCAAGACAACTGGGAGAAGCCCTTCAGAGCTGTGCCTTCCCCAGGTTTGCCAGACTGTGCAGGGCACTGAGAGGAGGGACACAGAGGACAGTTGTCCCTAAGAGGGAGGTAGACTCTGGGGAGCCTAGGTTGCCCAGGTCACCCCTGTTCCATCCAGCAGTCCAAACTCTGCTCCACAAGTTCTCTGTGGGGTTCTTGGTGGACTCAGGGTTTTTAGAGGCAGGAGTTATTTGTTCATGCATATGTCTCCCTCCCAAGGGTCTTTCTCAAAACCTTCCTCCCCTGCCCCTGCCCCTGCCCCACGGCTTCCTATCTCTGTCTCATGTGCCCTGTTTTAAGCTGAAAAGTTAAGCAAAGATGCAGTAGTGGTTACCATTTATGAAGTGCCTCCTAGGGTACCACGGTAAGCTCTCTGCATGAATTTATAGGAATTTACTTAGTGTAAGTGCTAGAGGGGGTTCAGGCCTGGTGAGGGCCTCTGGGGGTCCACTCCCAGGAGGCTAGGAAACAAGAGATTTTGCTGCTCCATCGCTTGATGTTCAGGAGGAAAAGGCTGAGAAGGGCCAGTGCTTCTCTCTGACCCTCAGCCCTGTGCGCACAGGCCGCTCCAGGTCCCCTCTGCATCTCTGCCTCTCCCTTCTTTCAGGTACCAGCTCACTGGTCAATGGCAACCTCCGACTGTACAGCTCTGTGGGTGACCTGAGGCCTGAGCACTATGGCCTTAATCTACTCATCCCCCCACCTCCCCCAGGCCCAGCCCCGGGGCCACCCCAGGACATTTCACAACCTCCAGTGGAGGCCCCACCACTGCCTCCACCTTTCACAGCTCCCCTACCACCTCCTCTGCTGCAGGAATCCCCACCCCCACCCCCACCCAGCACGGCCCCACCTCCACCTCCAGTACTGGACACCCTATACCCCCCTCCCGCTCTCTCCCCGCCCTCCACTCCCACCCCTCCGGACTTCATTCCCCCTGCCCCGCCACTGGCCTTTCTAGCCCCTCCGCCACCCTCCTTGCCAGCCCCAGCACCCCCAGCTCCAGTGTCTCCTCATGTGATGGGGACTCATCACTTTCCCCCTGGGGGTGTCACCAAGTGGAAATCAGAGGTAGCACTGAATGGCAGGCAGTCAGAGGCCCCTAGAACCAGTCCCCCCAGGAGCCCTACTGAGCTAAAAGGGAGCCAAATGGGACCTAACCCAGAGCCTCATCTCACCTTCCCCCGTTCATTCAAAGTGCCTCCCCCAACCCCAGTCAGGACCTCATCTATCCCAATTCAGGAAGCACAAGGGGCTCCCCCAGAGGAAGAAGGGGCTACCAAGAAGGCTCCCAGCCGCTTTCCACTGCCTCCTAGCTTCCACATTCGTCCCGCCTCCCAGGTCTATGCAGACAGAGTCCCTGAGCCAGACCACCCCAAGGAGCCCAGGGCAGAGGCACCAGCGCCAGACAGCCCAAGGCTCAGCCAGCCAGCAACCAAGGAACAAGCAGGGACTCCACCCCCCGCCCCTCCCCTACCCCCTCCTGCGCCCCCCCTCCCTCCCCCTGCACCTCCCCTTCCTCCGGGGGCTTCTCCTTTGCCTTCTGCTGGGCAGGCAGCCCCTCCACCTTTCAGGTTTACCAAAAGCCCTAAATCCAGCTCACCTGCTCTCAAACCCAAGCCCAGACCCCCCAGCCCGCAGGACACCTCCTCTTCAGAACCTGTGGACTGGCGGGATCCCAGCCAGATGGAAAAGCTGCGGAGTGAGCTGGCAGCCTATCTCTGTGGCTCCAGGAGTCACAGGCCAGGCCCCAATGTGGCCTCTCAGGACAAAGAGGGCAAGAAGGGCCTCAGTCAGCTAGAGGAGGCAGCCCCCACCAGCCTGCCAGAGAAACCCCCACCAGGCGCTCCTGAGAAGAGTCCCTGTAGCAGCAGTGTGCCCCTACCCCCAGTGGACTACATCCCCCAAGATGCACCAACCCCCAGTGTTCGGCAAATCCGGAATGAGCTGGAGGCCAGGCTGGCCTCAGCTGCAGACAAGGAGACCAAGCCCAGCATCGGGTCTCTACCACCTAAACCTCGGCTGGAAGGGGGAAGAATTTTTGAAAATGGGACTGTTAATGGCAAATTCTCCAAGCCTGTACCCAAGAATCCACCAGCTCTACCTACCATGCCTCTTCCAGCCACATCACTCCAATCCAAAGACACACCTGTGCAGGCCACACCACCCAAGGCCACACCTGGGCCAGCCACACCACCCAAGGCCACACCTGGGCCAGCCACACCACCCAAGGCCACATCTGGGCCAGCCACACCACCCAAGGCCACACCACCCAAGGCCACACCTGGGCCAGCCACACCACCCAAGGCCACATCTGGGCTGACCACACCTGAGCCAGCCACACCACCCAAGGCCACACCTGGGCTGACCACACCTGAGCCAGCCACACCACCCAAGGCCACATCTGGGTTGATCACACCTGAACCAGTCACACCACCCAAGGCCACACCTGGGCTGACCACACCTGAGCCAGCCACACCACCCAAGGCCACATCTGGGTTGATCACACCTGAACCAGTCACACCACCCAAGGCCACACCTGGGCTGACCACACCTGAGCCAGCCACACCACCCAAGGCCACACCTGGGCTGACCACACCTGAGTCAGCCACACCACCCAAGGCCACACCTGAGCCGGCCATATCATCTGCAGCCACAACTCTGCCCATTAGGTCATCCCAACTGATGGCAGAAAAGGACCTCATCCCTGTAGGGCAGCAGCAGAAGACAGAATCTCAAGAGAGTATAGTATCCTCCCAGCCAGAAGCCAAGGAGCCCACATCAGAGGCCTATAGGCTGCCCATACCAGAAGCCCCCTCTTCTCCAGCCCTCCTACCAAAGATGTCCCCTAACCCAGAAGAAGTGCCATTTCTCTACAAGCCCCATCGCAACCAAAACAGCCCTAGCCGTGAGGTTGCTGTGGTGATGCCTACGCTGGCCAGAGGAGGGGCAGCAGAGTCAGAAGAGAAGGAGCCCCAGGGCCTGACAGTCAAACCCCCTGCCCCAGCCCAGCCTGCTGACCAATTCCTCAGACACCCAGTGACTGGGGAAGTGGTGGAACAGGGCTCCCCCATGGCCCTGCTCTTGGCAGCCAGGCAGAGAGCACAGAAGGGGAGGTCTGGAGGGGCAGCCCTGGGGCGGTCTTCCCTGCCTGGGAGTCTCCGGGGCCACAGGAGCCATCCTGAGGCTAGCTCCGACAGCATCTTCTACAGCGATGGCCGGCCCAACTCCTTCACTGTGGTTCCCAAGTTACCCAAGGACGCTGAGAAGGACTCCCAGCTGACCTCGGCTGCGACGCCCATGGCACCCAGTCAATGGAAGCCCCCGCAGGGAAGAGACCAAGAGCCAATCCATCGTCCCATGTGGACCAAGGCAGAGCCCCGAGTCCCTGTGGCCTGGGAAAGACCAGCTCTCTCCAACCTCTCCCATGGCCCCATGCTGCCCAAGTCCTCCTCCTCTCCACCCTCTCCTTCCTACAGGAGGAAGGACGAGGAAGAGGAAACGGAATTCAGCTTTGAGGTCATCCCACCGCCGCCAGAGTTCAGCAATGACCCCGAGCCCCCGGCCCCGGCTCCGGCTCCGGCCCCGGCCCTCCAGTACGTGGGCTGCCGGGGGTTCCCAAAACGGAACAACTTTTCAGACTTGGGGCAGCCCCTGGACGCGGGCCCTGCGGCCCCGCCGGCTCGTGGCTTCTCGCGCTTTCCCGGTGCGCTCTACTCCGGGGCCGGGGGCCTGGAGCGCTTTTCGGGCGGGGGCCGTTCGCTCATCAAGAAGCGCTTGTACGTCGGGGAGCCTCCCCGCAACCCCGGGCTGCCCCGTGGCGCCCCCGGCCGCAGCCTGAGCACTCCCAACTGCTTCGGACCGGCGCCCGGAGGCCCGGAGATGCGGCGCGTCAACTCCGCGGGCCGCGCGCCCCCCGGCGGCTTGCACGGGCGCAGGCTGTCCCAGGAGGGCGCTGCCCGGGGCGCCGCGGAGGCCAAGTACAAAGCGCCGGGTGGCGGAGGCAGCGGAGGCGCAGACTACAGCTTCGTCCCTGCTACCGGCAGGTGAGCTTGGGGATCGGCTAATGGAGGTAGCCCGGGGTGGGAAGCCAGGTGATGTCCATGGAGACACTGCCTTTGGACCAGAGTTGCTGACCAGGCCACAGCAGAGAAAGGGAAGAGAGGCTTCCTAACCTGGGAGGGGGCGGTGCGGGCCTTTCCTTACCTGCCCCCTTGTTGCCCTTGTTCGCTCTCCATGGGTTCCCTTCTGTCCCCCACTCCCGGGGCTACAGGTTAAATGTCGCATGGGGAAGATCTGAGTGTCCTTGGCTGGAGGGATTTCCCAATAACACGAAATGTACCCAGACCCCAGGCTAGGAGTGAAGGGCTTTGAGTTGAGTGGTATTAGGCATGTTCCCTGGCCAGGACCCAGAAAGAAAGGAAAGCCCTGTGTCTGGTGGACTGGGGGTCCCGCCCTGAGGTCCCTTGGGTCTCTTGCCCTAGGGAAGGTAAGCAGGGTGTTGGCAGATACAAACCTCACTGCTCTCTTGCTCTCCCCCAGATCTCACAACACCTCCCATTATGGAAGCCCCATCAATACATTCACCGTGAGGCCTGGAACCCGTCATCCCATCTCCTATGCCTACTCAGGAGCTCACCGCAAAGCCACATCCTGAGCCCGGAATTCTTTCAGCTCTACTCCAAGGGGTTGGATCTGCGCACTTGTTTCTGTGGCGGGTGGGAGGGTTGCAGCAGGTATTAGCCTGACTCAGACATGGACGAGTCTGGCTCCCTGAGGACCCTCGAACAAATGAGCGAGAAGCAGTGGCCTAAGGAAGACTGAGTGGGCTTCTGTTTTCCCAGAGCACCAGAGCTGCTATGAACTGTATGCAGATGGGGGGGGGGGGGGGGCAAAGGGAGAAGAGAGGAGAACGTTCAGGGCCTGAGCGCTGAGTTTCCGTTATCTGGTACTATCTACTTGTAGCAAGATTTATTTAAAGCAGTTTTACAAGCATGGCCTATGAAACAGGTTCTAGAAGCAAAGGATGGGTGCTTACTCATGGGATGCCTCACAAAGGGCTGAGGACCATCCCTGTTGGGGTGGGTGCAGGTCACTATAGGTAGATCTCTTTAGCCTCCACCTGTTGCCACCAAGAGGCCATACCTGGGGTTCCTAGCTGCACGGAGGCAGACCAATACTATGCAGGCACAACATATGGAGAAGGTGATGGAATAGAAGCCTTTTGCATTGACCAAGGCCACAGACAGGTTAATTTCTCCTTGACCCTGGCCCTTAGATACAGGGAGACCCACAGAGAAAAGACTCGGCAGTTGACAGGATCACGTCTTGATTTTTTTAAATTCAGACTCATGCATCCCTGATTTGGGGGAGCATGCCCAAGGAGCCAAAAGATCCAGGATTCAACACCAGAGGTCCTACATGGCCTGGTTTCATATGGGATTCGGAGGGGGCATTAGTTCTAACCCCAATACGTCACCAATATCATTGATGCCTTAAAATGTGTAGTGAAGACTCTGGAAGGCCTTGGAGAGTAGAAACTCAAGAGAAGTTTATTGTTGATGGGGAAATAGGTTTCAAAACATTAAGAGTGGTAAGACTGGGCCAGTCCAGAGCAGGTGAAACTACAATAGGGTAAGAATTGGTCCTTTGCCTGGGCAGTCCAGGTTTATGCCTGTTTCCATGAATTAGGCCCCTTGTATTTTTTAAAAAATTCCTATCTTCAGGTCAAGTTCAGCTGAATACCTGGGACCAGGCCAAGGCTGCCTTTCTAAGTAAGAAGGAGGGCAGGGGAGTGACTCACCTCATATGAGCAGGCCAGTAGGGGGCCGCCAGAAAGCAGCTCCCTTTGGGAGTTGACTCTTTTGATCTATGGTTACTAGCTGAGGTACTGGGTTGCAGCAACAGCAGTCAGTCACTTCAAGGAAAGAAAGTGCAAGGAAGGTGGGCACCCAGGTGACTAAGGCCAGCCACTCTAAGTTCTGGCTACCTGTGTTCAGGCAACAAATCCCATCCCAATACCAGCACTGGCTCTATAAATATGTATGTATTTCCTCTACACAATGTTTTATAAAAGAGCTCATTCACTAATTTATCTGCTACATTAAGGCTTGAGGAGTAGGGTGTGGACTCCCAGCTGTAGACTGCTCTGGGGTGGGTGGAGACGGGCTTGGTCTTAGTTGGCTTGGGAAATAAACAGGCCAGTTTGGATTGGCCTCCAGCTCTGTGGCTGTGGATTGCTGACTCAGAGTCACTGGGTGTGGCGGGATGTTGGGCGGACTGATCTGGGAATCACGCAGCACTGGGTACCATCTGAACCAGTGAGCCATTACTCTTCTGACCCTTAGGTTTTCTTGTTCTCTAGATCCCTCAGGGGAAGGGGCAGAGCAAAAATCTGGTGATAACAGCTATGTGCTTAAACACGTCTCTGATTTCTTCTTTCATGCATGATAACAATAACTATCCCATAAAGCTATTGTGAGGATTACAGACAGCCATGCATCCATTTAACAAATATTTGGGTAACTGCTAAATGCCCGGCACTGTTTGCATGGATATACAGCCATCAACACACTGCCATGGTTCCTAGGAAAGAACATCATCAAGTGGCGGAGAAGAAAAAGAACACACAGAAACATCCAAAATTAAAAAAAAAAAAAAAAAAAAGAAACATCCAAAATTAGGACAGGTGGTGGGGAGGAAAGGAAAAGGACATGTGAGAGAGTAACTAGAAGGCGGGGAAGAAGAGAGAGTTGACTCTAACAGGGTGGGGAAGGAAGGCCTCCTGAAGTCCTGACGTGCAGACTGATGTAGGCAAAGCATCCAGCCCAGGCCTGGCACTCAGTTTTTTTTGATACCTGGCATCTTTGGGTGATGACTGCCTGTGTGAGTCAGCTTTCCGTCATTGTAATGAATACCTGAGGTGATCGACTTATAGAGAGAAAAAAACTTTATTTCAGTGCAGAGTTTTAACTGTCTCAGTCCATGATCACTTGGCCCCATGACCTGGGGCCTATGGTGGCACATCATGACAGGAGCATGTAGTGGAACAAACTACTCACATGGTGGCCAGGAAGTAAGAGAGGAAGAGCGGGGTGGGATCCCACTAGCCCCTTCAGGGCACACCTCCAGTGACTTGAAGGCCCCCCACTAGACCTGTCCAGTAGGGGCACACTGAGAACCAAGCGTCTACCACATGGGCCTTCGGGGAACATTGCAGATCCAAACCTTAGGGCTCCTTTACATTGAGTGTGGCCCATCATGTTTCCCAAGAGCTTTGGCAAGGTATCTTCCCCAGCCTCTCCTGCCGTGCGTGTTCCACAGAGCTGTTTTCGCCCACTACCCACCTCCACACCCCCCCAATTTTTTTAAATATTTATTTTTTAGTTTTGGGTGGACACAATATCTTTCTTTTACATTTATGTGGTGCTGAGGATCGAACCCAGTGCCTCGCGCATGCTTGGCAAGCGCTCTACCACTGAGCTACAACTCCAGCCCCGCCCCCAATTTTTATTTTCCAGAAACTAAAAACCAGGGAAGCTATCTCAAGGCGGTCAGTGACAGAGAGAGCTGTGCTTCCTCCTCGGCCTGGCATGGGGTGGGTGTTGGGAAACAGGATGGCTCACTTATTTAGCAGGTGGGGCTTCCTGGAAGGAACTCCCAGGCCTCTTCCCTATCCTTTGGGCTTCCTCATTCTCCTGTCCCTCACTGTCCCCCACCCACATCCTGGTGATAAAGAGTAAGGGCATGGGCTCTGTATCTGGTTCCCTCCCTCCTGGGTCCCTCTGAGCATTTCTTTCCCCTCATTTGCCACAGGATGGGCAACAGGGAGAAATGGTGTTTAACCGGGGTGGAGGTTGGAGGGAAGGACCCTACCTCCTGGTTCTGCCTCTTACAAGCTGTGTGACCTTGGTTCCACTGGCTCATCTGAATCTTGACATGTGTCTTAAATCTGCTGGGTCCCTTTTTTGAGAACTGACAAGAGCTATCCACCAGAGAGATGCCCACACATGCTTCTTATACGTCAAGCTTGCCACAGAGCCCCCATGTCTGGGCTCTATGGACGTCACAGTTGAAAACTCCTGATAAGACAGTAGCAACCATCAGCATTTACAGAACCTGACAGTGGGGAAAGTTGGAACCTTCCTGCGCCTACTCACAACAGTCCTCTAAAATACACAGTACTGTGCATTCCTGATTCCATTTCCTAGATCAGGAAAGGAGGACTCCAAGAAGGGAAGTGAGTTGACAATGGAGCCAGGAGAGGAAGAAGGGCCCCTGCTGGGGTCCTTCATTCCAGCCCCCTCCCCCCCCAGCTACATCCACCTTCCCCCAGCTGTGCTACCCCCTAAACTGGCCATCTTATCAGAGCAGGGGTGGGGGAGGGGCCAAGCAGGGGAAAGCCACTCCAGTGCCAAAAATGGTTGATGGACATGGGTGGAGCAGGGGTTCCTGGGTCAGGGTGGCCACGCCTTGATTTCCAAAATCTCCTCACTGCTCTTGGGTGTGGCTCCAACCCCAGTGGCCAGCACCCCGCCTCTTTTGTGAGGCTGATGCTGGCCCAAAGAAGCAACCCTGGGCTGGTCCCAAGCCTGGGTCTTGGCATCAGCAGTGTGTAAGAGGCCTATTCTCTGGAAAAGGCTGAATTCTGCTTTCCCGAGGGCCAGGCCTAGGAGGGAGTCCTCCCTCACTGAAGGCCAGCCTCGGGCTCTTTTCTGTGCAAAGCTGTAGGGGAGAGGTGACTTGGAGCTGGAGGGGTGAGGGAGAGGCCAGCTCTGCTGAGCTGTTAGGCAGACCTGCCCTGACCTGCTTGTCCCACCTGCCTACCCCCAGCAGCAGTGGCCCCTTTCATCTCTGAAGCTCAAAGGAAATGCTGGCGTCCCATCATTAGTCAGTGGTGGGGGAAGGGTGGCCGCTGACACCATGCAGACAGCCTGCACCACCTCCCTGCCAGGCCCAGGAGGCCAGATGCTGCAGACCTGCTTGGCCTTGGCTTTAGATCTTGGGCTGCTTTTGCCAGGAAGGGGAGGAGACGTGCTCTTCTAGGTGAGGGGCGTGAACCAGACATGCATTATGTGTGCTCCCTGATTTACATGGGAAATCCAGGACCCCTCTGTGGATTCTCAGTGTCCTGGAGGCACAGATGAGCCACTCCCCACTCCCTCCTCTCTTTAAGAATTGTTCTGAGTTTCCACAGAACAGCTTGCTCCCCTCCTCTCCTGCCTTCCACAAAGCCCCCCTTCCTCCACCCGGCATCTCAGTTCCTAGCCCCAGATCTCCACCTTCCTTTTCTCTAGCTGCTTCTTCAGAATACTGTAACCGGCTTCTTACCTTGCCAGGGGTCACCTTTCTACTTTGGAAGTGCTTCTTGGACATGTCCACAAGGATGGATCTGCATTGGCCATCTACCCAAACCCAGCTTCTCCAAAAGGAATTATTCCTCTCCCATTTCCTTTGCACAGTTCTGAGACCAGAGCAGCCAGATTGATGGCCCCACTATCCCCAAGTGCTCATTCTGCCTCACTGCTTGGGCCTTATGGAAGACATCCCTCACCTGTGGGGACACAGCAGCTCCTCTTAAGGGCACCCCCACTGACCCACCCCACGCCCAAACACTGGTGTTTTTTACTGTCTCTCCAAGAAGCTTACAATCTGCATAACTCATCACAGAAGCTCCAGGATCTAGCACAGCTCCTAAGATGAATAGGCACTCAGTGTATGTTTGTTGAATGAATACATGTTTATACTTAGTCAAATATTGCCACTTTTGAAGTTCCTTAAGGGCAAAGTCCATGTCTCCCATGGACTTGTGAACACTATATTGTTTTTTATTTATTTATAAATTGAAAAATTATTATTTACTTGACAGATAATTTCTGAATTAATATAAAGAAATGACAATAACTTGTATACACACTAATTCAAAAATTTTTCAATAAGAACCAAGTAGAACAGTTCACAGTCTTTTTCAGAAAAATAACTTTATCATTGAAAGATTGCCCCAATTTAGTTTATTGAGGTGTTTTTTTGTTTGTTTGTTTTTTGTGCTGCTGAGGATTGAACCCAGGGCCTTGTGCATGTGACAGAGGGACTCTACCAACTGACTATATCCCCATCCCAGTTTATTGAGGTTTTTAATGAAGAAATCTAAAGCTGCCAATCAGAACTTCTAAATAGCACAAGAAGACCAGGTTAAACCCTTATAATATAAGTAAAAAAATAACTTTCAAAAGCTTTAACCTATACATTCTAACTGGGGATCTGCTAGCCTCAGAGGTCATTGGTCCATAGCCAAATACCATCCCACAACACAGATGAGAGGGTAATGAGTATCATATACAAAGTGAGTACAACTTATGGTATAAAACAGGGTCTTGTGTGTTCACTGGGAACAATGCCTAATTCCCAGGTGCAGATTATGCAGCAGGGGGCCCAGAAACAGAATTCACTAACCCACAAAGGAGAACCGAGCAAGGACAATGGAAGGTAGAAAGTCCCGTGCCCTGGGATGAAGCTGGAAGGAGCCTTCATGGACCAGGTGGCATCCAGGCCAGACCAGGTACATGAGTGGAAGTCGACAGGTGGCAAGGGATCTTCAAGGCTGGAGAGAACCAAACAACAAGACACTGAGCCTCAGACCTAGCGGCCACTCAGAGGACAGGGGAGTGTTTGTGTTGGGTGAAGGGACACAATCTAAGAAGAGATGCATGAAACAGAAAGCAAAACCTCCTTCAGTAAGAGACGGAGGCCCCATACTCTCTGTGGAGGCGAAGCGGGATCCTCCACAGCTCACCCTCCCCGGGGAGGCCCAGCCCCTTAGAATCAAATCCATGAGCAAGAATCTTCCTTTGTGTAAACTGTCTCTTCCCCAAAAAGTAAAGCAGAAACACAAGAAAACAAAATGAGACTCAAAAGAAAAAGAGACATCCGAGCAAGCTTTGACCCTTCATACTTCATTGGTGTTCCAGCTGTCACACTAGTGAAGACACGGTCTTCTTCGTTGCTCACACAGGTTCATTACTGCAAGAATTTAGCATATCATGTCCTAGTACAGCTCCTCTCAAAAGCAGGAAACTCCATACAAAACATAGACTTACCCAAATAAAAGGCAGCATCAACTTAAGGATCTAGTGTAAGTAATATCACAGCACTCATCTAAATTTTTTTTTTTTTTTGCACCAGGGATCAAACTGGGGGTGCTTAATCACTGAGCCACACCCCAGCCCTTT